AGAGTGTAACTAAAGTTCAAATGCACCTAAACGACTTTGGTGACTCAGTACACACTCCACAAAGTGAAATCCTAACATCAGAGACAAGGAAACGGTCTTCGGGTTTTGTCTTGATGTGGCACTACAGACTCAACTCAAAAATGCAATAAGGTCACAGCTCAATAACTGCACACAGGTGCTGGGGACCGCAATGCCCATCATGCACCACCAGATGCAGGTAGAAGCTTTATGTGCCTGTCATTTGCCATGAAATATTGTTAGAAAAGTGAGGGGTCAACGAGCTGGACAGGAGCTGCAAGACTTCATCAATACTAGTTGTTCCGCATAAATTTCTGTTGTGTAAATGAAGCTGTAGCTTTTATCACACACTAGGACAGTGTCACCAAAAAAATGACCTGAGATAGAAGGCAGAATAGTACAGCAGTGCAGAAGTCTCCCTCCTGCCCAAAGGGTCCCATAATAACAAACAGACATTTCACACACCAGCATTTCCAGAGTGTGGGATTTGTGAGTGATTAAACACAGTTAATGCACCAAAAGTCCTGTTCCTGCCCCCAACCCAAGGATCACTGTAAGCACAACCGCTCTATAAAACTTCTCTCATACTCTGATGCTATCTCCAGTTTCAGACAGTTTGTTTTCTTGTGGCTTTTTAGATAATTTTCAAAACTATCAAAATGAAACAATATCATAGCATCTTTTCTTTCCCCAGAAAATTCCTAAAGGTCAGAGACCAGCAGCCATACTGAGCACCTTTAATTATCCAAGTCAACATTTTGTTAGAAATTATGTCTAATGTGTAGCAGGATAAACATACCCACATCTGCACTGGGTGCTCCTGGGAGTATATATATTTATTTCTGGCTATCAGTGAGGTATTTTTTCATAATATACAAGTGTATCAATAAAATACCATCCTGGAAGGTTTCTAAACAGTCATGTTATTACAAGTCCAGGTATGCCAAAAGGCTTAAGTGTTAGCCCCTCTGCTGGGTGCCTATAAAGACCCCAGTATGTGGGTCTGCAATAAAGTGGTGAAAATCTAGCCCCTTTTCCTTCACTTCCACAATAAAGTGAAAAAGGGCATCAAGGGGGATAGGAAAGTCAAGTCTGAAAACAAATTTGGTTGAAATATTTGTCACTCATTTCCAACCCTTCCTCAGATTTTAGTAATTTCACTGCTCAGTTTCTTTGTCTTGCACTTTTATCTTCCTTCCCACCTGCCCAGAACACAGTAGGTAGCAAAGTATCTTAACTTAGGATTTCACTTATGTTTAAGTGAACAAAAGTAAGGTACGCTGCATTTCCCATAAAAGGTAGAAAGTTGAAGAATTAGAGATGAGTATCCTGAAAGTCTGCAATAATCACTGTCTATACTATAATTTCAGTCAGAATTTCAGAAAGAGGAGATATACGAGACATACAGTACTTCAGCTCTGCCAGAAGTTGTAAATCCTGGATCAAAACCTTAGCAAAAATTTGTATCTCCCCTGAAGTCACAATATTAATCCGATACTAAACTGCATTATTTAAATGCAAAGACAACTTACATTTAGGAAGAGGACTTGCATTTAGGACTTCTCTTGGGTGCCACTCTATTGAGGTAACCCACCTTTCAACAGGTGGCCTACTATACAGTAATGTATCACCCGATCAGCATGCCTAAGTAGCTTAATAAACGTACCAGACCAATGGATATTTGAAACTGCTCTGTGAAAAACATTATACTTGTTACTATATCCAAGCAGTAAAAGCCTCAAACTCCAACCAAACAAGAACAAAATACAAATTTATGACTCTTACTGATACTATATCTGAAAAACAAACAAAAAGACACCCCCCAGCTTTCCTTTTTACACTAGTTTTGCCTTATTTCATTATTAGGTGACACCCCACACACTCTTCACTCCATTTCCCCACCCCAAGTAGCCCCAAAATTTAATGGACTGCATTTTGTGCACACAAAGGAAAGGTTACTTTAGTCATGGGAGCTCAGTGGCATGGAAAAAAATGTTAAAAAGAGGTTAAATAAGCTTTTCAATCTCAACTTTGATTTTGTCTAATGCATTGCTCACACTTAGTGAGCATGAAACTCATCATTCACCTGCTCAGTTGCGAAAGTTTCAAAAGAAAACAGTAAATTTGATTCACATTAAATCTCTAACACTCCATAGAAAGCTGTGTCTACAGATGTGGTTAATATAGACTACTTTAAGCCTTCTGGCTATCAGGATGCTCAAAATAATGTATAAGAAAACTTACAAAAAATAAGGTAGACAATTAACATAACCTTGGGGTTTTCTGTTTTGGCAATGAGGGGGATGGCATTAGGGGAAGGGTTATAAGTATTTTCCATTCATTCCTTAAAAAGACCTTCTCCTTCACCTTCCCCTTAACAAAAGACTCAAGCATGCCTTAATTTATACATGTTTTGGATGGACAACAGCCGATAGGGAGAATGCAGCTGAAGCAGCATGTGGTAAATCTATTTATTCTTCAGCTTTCTCTAGCATTCCTGACTGAAAAGCTTACATTATATTAGCGTTACATATCACTAGTTAGTTTAAATAAAACATATGCACTTAAGTATTTCATTGATCCTGTCACTTCAAAGCCAGTTTTCCCCCCTTTCTTCAAGGAAACAGCAGGAGGGGGAAAACCCACAATCAAACCTGCCTGAGAATGTGAACTAATGAGACCCTCTATTTAAAGATTCTTGTTGCCTCAAGCTCAGCTGAAAAACGTTCTTGTTCGTCTTCACAGCAGACAACGAAAAATGATTCATGAAATACTTGTTGTTATTTTAACAACTTTGTAGCAGTGCCATGCAATATGAAAACAGGGTTATGTTTTGATGACAACATGCCATCTGGTACCACTAAAAATCTGTATTTTGTTAGTCTGAACATCTGATTAATGCTTACAAGGTCACAGGCAGTGTTATCTTAAAAACACTAGTTTCAGATGAGCAGGTGTTCATAAGCATCACACACCTTGACAGATCCCAATAAGACAGAACCAAACAGGTAAAATCTGCTTCTATCTCAATTTGGGTTGCCAAGAAAAAAGTTTTGACAACCTAAACCTTAAACACGGAAGCTGCTAACAAAAGTATTATGTTACAAATTGCAGCGTGTTTCCTTGTGAAAGAAAGAAAAAAAAAAAAAAAAAAAAAGCTAACACCTCTGCTGCAGGAGATATATATCTAGAATACTAGGGACTTGTCTGCTATCTGACCAAAACCCTACTTTACAGAAAAAACCTCAGCCACACACTTCCCCATTTTATACAGGGAGAGTGGCTGATAGGTACAATATGAAAGATCAGTCTGATGCTTATAAGCAATGTGCAATTGATTCCATCTCCTGGTCATGTCATTTATGAAGATGAGTTAACACCACATAAATATATCAGTTCAATTTGGTAACAATTACAATTTAACTAAGGTGTTCAAATTACACCATACACATTTTCATAATGAAAACATTTACTAAAATATGGGGATGGCAATGGCATGTTTTTCGAGTTCCTAGTCAAATGTGAATAAACCTCAAGCCAAGTGTAAACTGATGAAGTTAATTAATGCTACACCTACAAAAAATTTTTGACAGCCACTGTTGAAATAGTGTGGTAATACTTACCATTTGATGTCTTCTGTAGCTCTACTTTCAAATGTTCAATTTCCTTCTTCAGCTTTTCATTAGTTGCTTCCACTGACTCTTTAGTTTTACTGCTTCCTTTTTCACTCAAGGCCTATTAAAAAACACAGATGCTACAATTAATTCTGTTTTCATTACTCTGACATTAATGCCAAACAACCAGAGAATGTCAGCCTTGATCTTGCAAAGTGACAGCTTTTATCAAACGTCAACAGGACACAGGCAGATATTCAATTATTATAGAAAAAAATCCCAAAATAAAAAAAAAAAAAAAGGAAAAAATGCTCAATGTTTTAAGTTGATGGTAATAGCATACTTGTAATAGCATGGCATCCTCTCCTGTGGAAGAGTACTTTGTATCTCTGCATCAAGGACACAACTTCTGTTTAGGTTATAAATGGCTTTTCCAGAAGATGTACACTGGGACTGCAAGTGACAGAACACTGCCATGTTTATGTGCAATTTGTTCTAATAATTTATTCCAATTTAAATCATGTAATACATTAACAAATCTCTCCTTGTAGGTTTGCAGCTACTTTTTCAATCTCCAGAATACCTCAATACCCAGATTAGATTTCCACTGAAATTCAAGAAAAAAATATGAAAGGATTCAGGAAGGGCACTGTAAGTACTAGACACAAGAGCAGTACCTCTGTTCTTTGAAAATGTTGGCACTACTATACTTATGCATACTCTTATCATTAAGGCAATTTCTACTGATGACTTAAAGTATCATATATTATGGATTAGATCCCATAGTTAGACCCTCTGCTCATTAGCCTTTACACAACCAATCATCATCTCTGTTACAAAAACAGCAAAAGAACGCTTAATGGGAAAAAGGAGAACTGAGATGAACAGCTGCTAGGTGAACTGGCAATACCAGAGCTTACTGGGCACAGGTGGGAGCAAAGGGAAAAGATTACTTTAAGGAAAAGAGCTCTTTATTAAAAGACTGGTAAACAATCCAAAAAAAAAAAGGGCTGAAGAAAATTTTCCAGAAGCTATTTAACCAAAGAGCAGAGATTGAATTTGACTGCTGGTAACAAAACCATGACCAATTTGTCATGAAATTGGACACAGATTGCCTCCCATACTTTGTGCTCACTTCTTTCTATTAATACACAAACAGTTATTTCTGTAAACTTTCATCTTAAGTCCTGTGCTCCATGGAACCTCTGAATGGGAGACAGCGCAGACCTAGCACACTAAACTTAAAATATTTATACTTATAGCCAGTGCCTTTTGTGCAATTGCTCTTCCCTCTCTCTGATGCTGGAATGAAGCATCCTTATAAATGAACACAAATGCCGGGGCCAAGCCACAGAAGAACCTACGTCATAGTATCTCTATGAAGTTATAATAAACCAGTTCTGAACACTTTGCATCTTGAGCGCAATGGAGATGCAGCCACAGCATACTGGCTGTACCTGTAGCTACCACTGTTTTTGCAAACCACGCCATCAAACACACCAACAAAACCAGACAGGCATACAGTTTCTAGTTTCTGGCTATCGCTTACAAGTGGCTAAGGGAATGTGTTGCTAAGAGAATGTGAAAGCAGAACAAAAAGAGGACTTTTGGCCAAATCCCAACAGAAGAGAGAGGGGGGGGAAAAAAAAAAAGTGCCAGTATGCATTAGAGAGACAAACTCCATGGCTGAGAGAAGGAGTCAGGACCATTTTGACAAAATACCAAATCTTAAAATTTTTGAATCATTTCATGCTTGGGAAATACCTAACACACACTCTAGTGATCCTTGTTTTGCAACACCTCTCAAACAACTGGATTTTTTGGTGTCCCTTCTCATAACTTTTCATCCAGAGTCTGCTTTCTCTGTGTGAAGATCTATTACAAATATATTACAGTGCTGGTAGCCATAGACACTGCTCCAGACAACCTGGAAGGAAACCTGTACACACCTGCAGTGAATTTCGTTTTGACAATGTGCCAGACTGAAGAATGCCCTAAAAATATTCATACCCCGGATACCTGCACTCTAGCTTATGGTTCAATCTTTTCCAACGGAAGTCAAACTAACCAATTACAAGAAAAGATTTCATACAGTTATCTTTATTATCTTTGCTGACTGCCTGCATACAACTATATGTTGAACCACAACAGAAAAATGAGAGATTAATTTTCTCCATTCTTCTCATAAAAATAACATATTTCTCGTGCACTGGTTGTTCTTTTAAGTAAGAAATTTTTTGTAATATCCTCATTAATACTATGGCAGTGCCTTACTGAGAAAGGAAGGTATTAGGAAATTGTCTGACACACCATAAAAATAGATGCATGAATACAAAATACTATAAATACAAAAGACCAATTTTACAAGTTAGAAAATATATTTCAGGACTGGAGCAAATCCTATTTAGAAGAAACAGCCAGCACGAGAACAGCTATATTGTAGGCCTTTCTGTACTGGACTGCTATAGCCCTGACCTAAACAGCCAACTCTTCAGGAAAAAAGAATAATATTAGTGTCTCCCTCTACTTTGCTATGATTAAATTAAAAATGATATTTTAAGAATATATTACTACTTTGACGAAATTTGTATTGGAAAGTCAGAACTTCATTTATCTGGATTACTCTAGTATCCTTTGTTAATAAAATGCTACTGAAATTTGTATTCAGTACGCTGAATTACATATTGTAAGAACATTGTTCTTCCTTTTTCCAACAGAAGAAAAAAAAGAAAGTACACTATTCAGCAGCAAACCATCCCCAGAGTATTTTGTACTAACTACTTGTTGTATAAGAAAATAACTAAAAAAGTTCAAAGATACCTCCTGCAGCCTTTCATTCTCGGCCATATATTTTTTGGCTGCTTCAGTAGCATCATTTACTTGTGCTTCCAGAGCTGCGTGAGATGCCATCCTTTTTGCCAACTGAGTAAGAAGGGTAACAGTACGTCTCAATACACTGGGGAAGAAACACAGTGAACAGCACAGTAATTCACAGCACAAACTGGAAAAAAACCCCACACCACTCAAACAGCCAAAACAACCCCTTTTCTCTCTCTCTCTCTCTGCATTATATGTGAAACCAAAACCACAAGGACTGTTTAAGCACCTGAAGGGAAACATCCAGGCTCATCGATGGCAAATAACAGTAAAATAAGAGACTGAAAAGATTTTCATCCATCAAAAATCTGGCCTTTACCTGATGCAGAACCTCCCTCCTCCCAAAATCCCATAGCCATTAAGGGGTCAGGGATCTGCTTGCTTAAAGGCTGAAATACTCTTGCATGACCTAGTCTTTTAAATAGGATGGATTTCTGAATACAAGACTCAAGCAACCTGTTGTGGCAACGAGTGCAACGCAAAAAACCAAAACAACAACCAACCCACCAAAACACGACTACTTTATAAAAGGCCTTACAAGAACAGAATTAGCAATGTGAGCATGTTAATCTTCAAAGCACTCTGTCAATACTGTATAAATCAGAACATGAATGAATGTCAGCACTCATGGCACCTTAAACGTAAGCTTTGCAAATACCTCCCTTGACCTGATCTAGTGATTGTTTCTTTGCATCACTACTTTCATTATTCATCTTCAAGTCTTTCAAAGCAGTATGTTGCTGAGTCAAGGAAAGGCCAAAGCAACACTGAATTAAATTAATTCCTGTAATATAACTATGCAGCTGCTCTTCAAAAGAAATTTGAAAATCCAAGTAATTGGGTTTTTCATAACTGAAAGAGTATTAACAGACCTTTTGGCTTTCAAAGTAAGCCCTTCTCACTGCTTTTTCATTGAAAGCTCATTTTCTTACATATTTAGTTTTAATAAAAAAGTTAAGGTCCCCATGTCACTACTTTTCCAAGGGTTAGTAGCTTTTACTATTGTTTATTAATGTATAGATGCAGCAGTCAGGAGTCAGTAAAACATCATCACAGTCCAGCTGCACTACCACATGTGCCAGATAGAAGGGAATAACCACTTTTCTTGACCTGACGGCTACAGCCTTGCTATTACAGCTCAATACATGATTGTCTGTCTACCAGGATTCCCAAGTCCTTTTCTGCAAAACTACTTTCTACGCAGCCAGCCAGTCCCCAGACTGGATGCTGTACATGGTTATCCTGTAAGATGCTGGACTTTGGCATTTGCCTTTGTTGAACTTCAAGAGATCTCTGGCTGCACATTTCTCCAACCTGTCTATCTCTCTCTGAACAGCAGCACTGCCGTCCAAGATACCAACCACTCTGATTTGGTACAGTTTGCAAACTTGCTGAGAACACATTCAATCCCATCATCCAGGTTGTTAATAAAGACATTAAACAGCACTGAGCCTGGTACCAATCCCACTGGGGCATCAGCTGGAATTTGTGTTACTATCATCCTTTGAGCCCAAAGGCCCAGGGAATTTTCCACCCACCTTTCTCTCCACTTCTCCAACCTATAACCCTCCACACTTAGGCTATTAGGATACCTCAAGAGACTATGTCAAAGACCTTGCTAAAGGCACACAACATCCACTACTCCGTCCTTTATGCACATAGCCAGTCATCTCATTGCAGAAGGCAACAGAGATGATCAGGCATGACCTCTCCTGAGTAAATCTGTGCTGGCTGTTCCAAGTCATCGTATCCTTCATGTCCCTGGAAATGGCTTTGAGTAAGACTTACTCTATAACCTTTCCAGGGACCGAGGTGAGGCTGATTAGTCTCTAGTTCCCTGTATCCTGCTTTTTGTCCTTCTTTGAAGACAGGTGCAATGCTTGCCTTTTTGCAGTCACCAGGATCATCCCCTGATCATCATGATCTTTCAAAGATGACAGAGTACGGCCTTGCAATGACATTGGGCAACTCCCTCCGCATGCAAGGATGCATCCCATCCTAGGATGTCACATATTTGTAAATAATCTGCTTCAGTACTCCCTAGCTGCATCTTCCACTATTGTGGGTAATGTTACATTTCTCACTGACTCTCCTAGAGGCTCAGAGAATTGGGAGGCCAAACAGCAGACCCAGTAAGAAACATGTAACATAAGGTTGGTAACAAGACACTCAATGTCTCATTCTTTTCCATATCTTTGGCATTTGGTCCCCTGTCCTACTGAGCAGCGAGCTCATGTTTTCTTTAGTTCTCCTTTTGTTTTCAGCCCTTCTCATCTCTTTCTGGTTCAGCATGAGGTAAAAGACAGCCAGACAAGCCTCGGCAGGCTCTCCACATCTCCTAAGACATCAAGTCAGATTAGCAGATGGGTGCCACTGCCCTAACCAGGGACAGTCTCCGGTAACTACGACCCTCTTCTCTTCTGTGCAGACAGTTGGTGGATGAAGGCTCAGCTGCCTCCACTGATATGAGGTCATTTTCCTCACCTGTACCCAGTGTTCTGTCTGCTAAACCACAGATGGACAAGAGCTTTTGTTACGTTGCCAGAAATGAGAAGCTTCCAGCCTCCTCCATTTTGGGAATCTCCATCTACCACACTTTTGGAATTCTCCTATTGGCTGATGTGCTAAAATGAACCAAAACTGACCCAAAGAATGAACTAGGGGAATCCAAGCACCCATTCATACCTACATGTGGTCCTAACTTGGTTAGGTGATGACAGTAGCAGTGTAGGATAAGGCAACCCAAGGAATACTTTTTTTCCCCTTCTCTGACAGACATTATGCCTGTTTAATGGATAAGCAAAATAGCTCTACTAAGAAAAGTCCTTTGATCTGGTCAACACTGAGAAGAAATAAATACTCCTACAATCTTGCTGAAAGGCCAGTAGCCCAAAAAAAGCTTTAATCAAATCTCTTCAAAAGCAGAACTTTTATCCACAATAAAATCTATTAGGGCCACCTGACAAGTTTTCTTCCTTGAAAGTCGAGTGGGCGTAGTGCCCTGGAGGACCAGCTTCCGATTCTCGTGGAGGACACAATCCAGCTATTCCTCTCTTGAAGCAGAGATCAAACTTATTTGTGCATATTTACTTAACCTTTCTTAGGGAAGACAAAGAACATGATGCATTCCTATCACTATTGTGCAAGGCTACAGCCACCTTTGTTTTTTCAAAGTTTTCCTGCTCAAATTTTATACAAATTTTTCATGATGCTTCTTTATGTACAATATTCCTCAATGATCAGCTAAAATGGCCATACATTGCTCCAGGGGGAAGAGGTTTGTCAGAAGTCTGTGATTCCAGGCATCTTCTTGTTCTGTGTTCCTCTTGCGTATCTAGGCAACATCAAGCAGCTCACTGAAGGAATTCAGAAGCAGGCCAGCATTCTACTGTCACCATAAAAATGTACAAATAGGAAATCGCCTGACAAACACATCTGTTTCCATACATTCACATTATCTGTGTCCAAATAGTTCATGTGGTCCTTGCCCAGCCGAGAAGATCTGCAGGTTGTTGTGGCTTCTGCGAAGATTCACAGGCAGTCTCAGCTGCCACTGCTGGGCAGTACAGAACTGTCCTGTCCATTACCCTGTTTTATTAGGTGTGTTTAAACATCCTGAAAGGGATACTGCACTTAAGATCATAATATCTTAGTAGGTCAGTTGTCACAAAGTACTTGATCTGAAATAATAGCTGAAACTTTCCTCGGAAGCTGGAACATTATCCTACAGTTCCTAACTTTGAGCCTTAGATGAAGTGGTTCAAGTCAGACTCAAGCTTTACTTCTTAACACAGCAGGATGCAATAATATCAGCTTGCAACTTATTAGGATTATTTTAACAGTACTTCAGTTTTTGAGGGTTTTTTCATTCCGGTTTTCCATGTTCAAAACAAACAAAACATAGGGCATAAGATTAAAGAAGGAAATTAGTATTCCCTGAAGAAACTTCTGCAAAATACATGTTTTCTCAAATGTTCAAAATATTTCTTTCCATGTGTTGCTCATCCTTACAATCTCCAAACATTCGTAAGATATTTTCCCTGCTCTTACTTGCCTCATAGCCAACCTGTTCACACTTAATTCTTTAATGTCTTGAAATCAGCTTTCTAATCTTTTTTATAGTTGCACTACTTGGTGCTGTACTTCATGGAGGAAACATGCTATGTAGAAATTAGAAAAATGTTATACTTACAGCCAAAGAAATAAGGAAAAACCTGAGATATAGAGGTTTCTTTGTTTTAGAGCTTCATCTGAATGTGATCAAAGGTATTTGTATTGATATTTGCGGCCTTTTCAATCACATGAATGGCAGAGTACTTCTTAACTTCTCTAATAGCATCTGCAAACAAAAACAGTTTGTTCTTATTTACATCTGTGAGTATGCAGGTATGATAAACCAGACATAGTACTAGAAATATGTATTTGGACTTTCTGCTCAGCCAACAGGCATAGGACAAATAGTGACTTCACTGACATTATCCATACATTTTAAAGGTAGGTCTTGATAAATCACTGAAGCGATATAACATACCCAGAGATATGCCAAACCATTGCCCAAAACATGCTTGAGTCATTTCCAGCACTTGCACCCAGCCACCAGGTATCAGGCCAAAGCAACAGATTCTACAAATGTTACCAGAAACCCTACTGTGTCAAAATGTCACTGCTGACAACTAAATTAAAATCTATCCAGTAGAGAAACAATGAAAAAACAGAAAGTGAAGAAAAATAGAAGAGATGCCTTCAGGAGTATTTGCCACAGACAGAATTTGTTAGATAAGCATGTATTCTAGTAAGGAGAGAAGCATCTAATTTAGGCTTGAATCCCAGAGGGGAAGAAATTATTTCTGTAACATCTATCAAAATAGGAAGACTGTAGTAACACAGTATTGAATATAAAGAGAACAGAGAGGATAAGCTACACCTCAGCTTCCTTTCATCTGCCTTTCATCCATCTTTCAGCTTCCTTTCATCCATCATATACTCCTGATAGTTCTGCAGCAGGGCTAATACACTGACAACGCTTTCCAAAGGACAAAATAATTAATTAGGACTTACATACACATAAAAACAAAACCGAACCCAGTTAAGAGTTCATATTACAACCTGTACATTTAAGGTCATCATACATACTTAAGGCCAATATAGCACCTCAAATCTCCTCGTGAACGTCAGCAAAAATACACGTTTCATGACACATCATCAGTTCTTGCAGAATATTTTGGCCACGTGCTATTAAATTGCTGCTGCGTTTATCTAAGCTGACAAAATCAACTTCAAAGAAAAGCACATGTGAATAACATCACTTAAGACTGTCTCTTTTATATTCATAATTTATTTAGAAAAAAAAAAGGTTTGAAGTGAAACTTCAAACAATGCAACAAAGACTAAGACCAAACAAAAGTCTATATCCCTGTGCTATAGGAAGATTCCAGTCCTGGAGTAACCTATTATCTTAAGCTATAGGGCAAGCATCTCATCACTGCTTTACTTTAGCCCAAATCTATCTTTCTGCAAAATCAATTACCATCACCAATTCAAAAGTAAACTTGGTCAAAGTTTTTGATACAAGTTCAAGATGAGTAAGTGAAATCCATCAGTTCTCAATCTTAAGCCATTTACTGAAGGATCTACTTCTAAGGATAATACTAAAGATAATCTAAAATTTAAAAAATGTTTATTTGCATTTCCAGTACTTATTTTTAATATCAGGAATATCGTATCGCAGCCTAGTCTGGCTTTTTATATACGCAGTGCATCTGTATGTTTCTCTCAGCAAACAATAAAACCAAGCAATTTTTCTTTGTATTTAAAGTAGTTTGGAATTAAATAACACTTTCACTGTAAGGTGCTAGAAACACTTCTATCCATGGAGAAGAACTACTTCTGTCACTGAAACACAGAACTATTTCCATCACTGAAATACAGGAGATACTTACTACATGAAGCAGTCAGGACAGACATTAAATTAAATCAGTCAGTCATATGGTAGTCATTCAAACTCTACTTTCACAAAAGCTTTACTCCTACTTGACAGACCTTAGGATCTACTCATAACAAATGCAGCCAACAGCTGTTTTGTATCTGTGCTGAGGAAAAGTACTCAAGAAGCCCAGTGCTTTGATATATTTTTCTGGTCTTCTATTTCAGCAGCAACCAGAGAAACAGTGCCATCTACTGCATATTGAGCAGCTCAGTCAAATTCTGGTATCAAACATTTCAAGTTCATTTACTTGTGTGAGAAAGTGAAACCACGCAGCAGCCTAGACCAAGCTCCATTTTTTTCCTCCTCATTCACTAGTATATTACTACTGCATTTAAATTCCCAACGTGGATACAGTATAAGCCCTCCCCTCTTGCATTCTGTTGGAGAACTTTTAAACAAATTAGCTGATTTACATTAGGCTTGAATCTTTTCAATTAATCTACTACCATGAACTCCATATACCAGGTTTTTTTTTTCCCATTTGAAGAATTTATTTAACACTTACCAAGAAACAAGACGATCAGTAACACTATTATTGTAAGGAACATCTTGTTCCAAAAAACTGCCACTTTGCTCCATAGAGAAAATGTAAAAATCTTCTGCCATCTGTAAAATAGCATTGTGTTATTCAAAAATAATTAAACACTAAAAGAAGAGCATAACAACCTCACAGAAGAGAGCCTTGTTATTGCTATGAGACTTATGTAAGGTCTCTAAACAACCGCTTCAATTGCAATATAATTTAGGTATACATAACTCTTCGATTAATCCAACCTGCTTGTCTCTCTTTGTTTCTTGTCAATATAGGCAAAGACACTTGGTTCAACTTGAAAACTTCTCGCACAATAGCAGATACTCTCCAGATGTGTTTTATTTTATCTTCTACTTTGGCTAGTATTATTTTGTGTTCTGTCCTGCCTACAGTAAACTCAGGGATGGGGTAAAGACTGTAAAACCAATTCCATCATTTTTATTTCTATCCACTTTCACTCCTTGTTGCCAAATAAAATAAAACCCCTCCACAAATTAAGATTTTCTCTGCCATCCTTCTTCAGAAGGCTTATATTTTACATTGATGAGTCTGCATAATTGTAAAGTACAAAGATTGATATTACATTCTAACTTGCAAATGACAAAAAAGGACAAGTCTCATGTTTATATTTTGTCAAGTGTTAAAACCTCTTTTAAAAGCACAAATCTGTTGGCTAAGGAAGCAACTTCAGAGGCCCAATGGTGGCGAACACCATCTTTTTCTTTATTTAAACAATCAATTGTCTATTCAATATTACTGCATGTAGGGCTCTGCAAGCATTCACACTTGCAGCACAAATTAAGAACATCTGATACGCTCAAACGAACTGAGACCCACAACACAGAGCAGCTACTTGTCCTTCGCTGAAAGTTAGAATCAGTGCTACTGCAAAAATGAAGTAATACATCCCTAATTGCATACCTAGGTAACACAGGCATGCCAGTCACCATCTGATTATATCAGGTAAAATTTCCAAGTTTTGTTAAGAGTATTTACATCTTCCAGAGACTGATAAAATTTGTCCTTTAACAAAGCTGTTTCCAACCTACTATGAACCTAATTTAAATTAGACAGTAGATTCATCTCCAATGGCTCCTCCCGGTTCTGCACAAGCAAGAATTAAAATATTTTGGCATTGCATGTGCACAAACCTCATTTAAATCTTTTGGTATAATCTGAATTCTTCATAGCAGACAGCCATAGTCTATATCAACCAAAAAGCTTACTTTAATTAAACCAAGCTCAAACAAAGCCAACCTGCTTACTCTTTAAACACGCAATTCTCCAAGTTCTGTACTGATCTCCACTTAAGTGATCCTCTGAGGTATGACCTTAGACCAACTATACTGCCAAGTCATATTCAGGCTAAAATAATATCTCTTTATGGCAAAGTCTTCCTATGTTATATTTACATGCTTATTTTTCCTCAACAAGTCTTGACATTCGCATTTATTAATGATGCATTTCCTTCTGGTGACAGAAGTCACACAAATACAACCCTTCCAAATTATAATACTGGCCACCACTATAGATGTACCGCACTTAGCAGTACAGTTCTGGCTTTTTGTGTACTTGCATTTTTATATTGCCGATTTACTTACTGGCCAGGAACTTAAAAGCTTGTTAGCAAATTTGAAAAGGAGCTCATTATGCAAAAAATGTGCAGGCACAAAAACAAGCAAACTATCTGTTTGAAGACTGCCAAGTGAGTAAATCAAAACTTTGAAGAACAGCAGTTTCACGCCTATCTTTAATTGTGCATGCCTTACTGCTTTGACAGAGGCAGCTCCCTGGCCACCAAGATGCACATGGCAGCACTGCTGCCCTCCAGTACTGTCACAGCAGCTAAATCCAATCTTTAACCCCACAAGATTCCTGTGACAGTTTGTTAACAAGATACTTGAACAAGTCATGTAAAGGATAAAGCTATTTCACTCTTTCAGAACCACTGTTCAAATGAATAGCTGAATGCTACAAACCAAGGACAAAAATCTATTCTTTGTATATAATTTAAAGCACTGTGTTTAATGTTTGGATAAATTTTGGTAACACTGCAGGTTATGAATTTGCTTCTCAGCCACAGAGACTGGATTCAAGTCCTATTTATGTCGTAAGTGAAACCTATTTCAGTACTCTCAATGTACTGTGCATGTGTCATCAGCCCACAGAAATTCTTGCAGCTAGTTTCCTCACATAAGCTGTTAATAATCTGATTATTACAACTCCCATAATACTCCCTTCTTACATACAGTTGTGCTTTTGATTAGAAAACAACACAAAACTTGAGAACTCAATAATCTGTATTGAAATGCTGAACTCCTCACAAGCCAGCTTGTAAAAATCAGAGGTTAAATTAGATTTTTGAACAGTTTTGACTTCTGAAGTTGAGGAAACATGACTAATCATTAATATCAGCTGTGAAGGATCCAACCATTTTCAGGACTCTCCCACAGATTTAAGTAGTTAAATTCAGACTCTCCACACAGCAGGGTTTTGGTTTAGGTTTTGATTCTTAAGATATTACAGTAAAAGCGGCATTCTTCCTTCTAAATATATCTAAAGATGCAGAAATCAAACATGTAACAGTTTTTACACAACACTGAGACAGCAGCAATTTTTTTGAAAAGCTTTAAAGTTTCATCCTACTTGGTTTTTTTTTGTTTTGTTTGGGTTGGTTTTTAAAGAATTATTGATATTCTGGAAAGAAATCATAACTCTGTTTCTCTTGCCTCTTGTAGAGAAGCTACCTTTTTTGTTTCCTATAAAGAAATAGAAATAACATTACCAAATTTGGAGAGCTACTTACAGGAAGGAGATAATGCTGTAAGCCAGGCCTTTGCATACAATAAGAGTAATTAACACATTTTGTTTCTTCCCCTTACTAAGGGCATTTATTTACAAGAATGAATTATTTTTCTTAATGTCTGTGTTGTGTTCCAGAAGTATTGTTGTTAACTTATACAGAAGTTTATAGAGGCCTTTATCTCAGCAGTCCTGAACCTTTTGCAGCAAGCTGAAGTCCACTTTTTTTTTTTTTAAACAAATGATCACAAATTTGTTACAGCCCTTACACAGCGCATGCGGTTAGCTTCGTGTATCAGATGTCTCTTATCTGTTCAGCACCCACAATGCCTGGTGTGCGCTAGAACACTGTAAAGCTGCTCCTCACAAACTTGACAACTCCTGAAGAGGCTGCACTATCCTCTCATTTCTCACAGATGCCCTCCTGTATGCTGGCTACTCCAAAAAACACACCCAAAAGAGACCAGGAGCCGATACCCCACTTGCTGAAGCAAAGCAATGGGGCTCATCCTGGGAACCCTGACTGCTGCTGGGATGAATCAGCAGCGTGTGTACAGCAAACATAAGGCTCTTTAAAAGAGGCTTATGATTCTTGAAAGTCCTGATGCTCAACTCCCGAACAGCATTCCTTCAGCTCAGTTCACTGTTAGTTTAAGAAGCAGCAGAACAAAAACGTAAAATAAAACCAAACCGGTGAGACCGAGCTGGGGTTGTCCAGCACACTGCAGTCCTACCTCAGCGGAGAAACAAACGGCAGGCAGAGCACGAGCAGCACTCCAATTTCCCCGTACAGAAAGACGGCCACTGCCGTCCACTGGAAAGTCATGCTCCCGGCAGGCCTGCGGAGAGAGCGCGGCTCAGGCGG